AAACTAATCAGGTCTGCACATTAATCCTGGATCATCTATGCACCAAGTTTCATTAAAATGTGTTGAATTGTGCCTTGAGATACAAGTGAACAAGCTTAAAATTGGCTAATTAATATGCACAGATTTCAACTAAAAAGTAATCAGGTCTGCACATTAATCCTGGATCATCTATGCACCAAGTTTCATTAAAATGAGTTGAATTGCGCCTTGAGATACAAGTGAACAAGCTTAAAATTGGCTAATTAATATGCACAGATTTCAACTAAAAAGTAATCAGGTCTGCGCATTAATCCTGGATCATCTATGCACCAAGTTTCATTAAAATGAGTTGAATTGCGCCTTGAGATACAAGTGAACAAGCTTAAAATTGGCTAATTAATATGCACAGATTTCAACTAAAAAGTAATCAGGTCTGCGCATTAATCCTGGATCATCTATGCACCAAGTTTCATTAAAATGAGTTGAATTGCGCCTTGAGATACAAGTAAACATACTTAAAATTGGCTAATTAATATGCACATATTTCAACTAAAAACTAATCAGGTCTGCACATTATCCTATATTTGTTCTTGAGATATCCGTGGAACACGTACAAACGTTGTGACAACACGCATTTGATTAACTTTTAATATAGTTGTTTAGATTAAACATGACTTTCGGGTTGCGTTTTAATTGGAGTTAATTAAACTCAATTGCAATTCAATAGAACGTAGAATTGCGTTTTAATTAAAGGGAACCTCAATCCAAACAACATAATGACCCCTAAAGAAAAAGCTCCACAAATGTAGGAGAATGCAATTTACAGTTTTGTTGTATCACTGTTCATTCTCTAGATATTCCACTTTTCATCAGTATTACGTAGTCAGCCATCTTGATTTTCAAGCAAAGGATTATGGGTAAAGTATGACATTATAGAATCTGTTGTCAGAAATACTGATGCGAATTAGTTCAAATTTTCGTTGTGCATATTACTCATGTATATAATTATAGTAATGGAAATTGGATTTTTACAAATACACATAAAGTGAAGAAATTGTTAAAAACGTTAAAAAAATAAAAATCAATATTTTAGTTGTGAAATATAGAATGTCACTTTTTTGTCCCCTTTTTGTGCTACATGTGATATTTCACCTATATAACATACT